TTAATTAATACACTGGTGTCTTTTCTTGTATTTATTTTCTATATTTTTAATTACATGTAAGAAAATTCGTGTTCTAAATTATTTTTGGAAATTCCACATAAGGTCCCAGCACTCACGCCAATAGCACATGGGTCAGCATTCTTAATTTTTTGGCGATCAAATCCCCAAATTTACATAATTTGGTATGCATTAATCCTTTTGAATGGCTAGCATTCGAAATTTAGTTCAAATTCAAGTGCATATTTTTCCAATGGTATTCTAGTCACGAACCTTCAATTTTTCAAAAGGTTGTGGGATCCGTTTGATTGTAAGAATGAAATTTGAATAGAAATTGAATTGCCTATAACTTGTTTTATTGAGAATTGTCAATTAATTTTGTTTGATTAGTATAATTTTTCATCTGATTGAAATTTTCCATCTTTTGGTGTTTGGCTTTGTTTTTTATGGAAATTGTATTTTTTTTTTCCAACTATTGGCGTTTGATAGCCATTTGTAAAAATTTTCCTAATCTTTAAGTAACCAACAACCGATGTAGAGAAGACAAAAGATTGATTTAAAATTGAACAGTGTAAAGAAAAATAATGTATTTTGCGATAAGAACTGATTTGGGAATAGAAAATGCAAAAACAATGTTTTTTTCTCCCTTGACAAATACATATTTTTCACTGGTAGGTGAAGTGAAAAGAAATTAGGTGGACTAGTGTTTTCCACATGCATAATTGACAAAAGACATCCACATCATATGTGACAAACACTGCACACTAATTGTTACGTGTGTGCGTTACAAAAAACATTCAAAGTACTATTTATGTGGATTAAGTTTTCCAAATACATACAAGTTAATACATACTAATGCCATAAGTCATGTGCAATCTAAGGTAGTGGAGGAGGATCACGACCAAGCTTGTCATACGCCAAATCACGCGTGTATTTTGTACTCGTCAAGTTCATAAATACCTTAGCCAAACCATCATTGGATTGAAAGGCTTTCATGACTTGCATGATGTTGTCCATGTCTAGGTTCGTGACCTCTAGCTTCTCCAGAATCAATTGCCAGTTAAAATGATTCAATGTATCTAGTGTAGCTTGCATTTCCATAGCTTGAGCAATTTTTGCAGATGAATCAGCAATCCTCGATAAGGCGATAATACTCTCACCCACCGGTTGTGCACATCAACGCTTGGCTTTGTTGGTCTCTTTAGCGGTACACTTATGTGCATGAACTGGGCTACGATCCATCTCCACATTTTCCATATCTTTCACACTTTCATCAGTTCTTACATAAAAGAGATAACAACTTGATAGAGTTTATACATGAAAACAATCAAAGTATCGTACCATAAAATATATTGCTTATCATTCATTGAGGAGAAGTTGAAGCCTGCGATATCCAATGGTAGCATTATTGCTAAAGAGAGTCTCCATCTCATCATATCTTGCACAAAGTTTGGTCCTCCACTTCCCAAAATCTGGCTTTCCCTGCAAAATGACCTTGTGAATGTATTGTAACCGTCCCAAAACATCTATATTTCCAGTAGCTATTAGTAGCAATATCGAAAAATTGTCCTAATTCGTACCTCAATAAAATCATCCCAACCAATAGCATCGGTTACAATGCGTCTAGTATCAGGATCCAATCCAAAATCGCAAATATTTAGCAACTGACGAACTTCAACATGCACTTTTTTAAGAGCATCAACCTTGCCCTTACATTCTTATTTGAGACCATGACCCCGCATCCATTGAGAATCCTATCAATTGCCTTAGACACTTGAAATGAAATCCTCTGCGTCATAAATCCTTTAAGAAGTTGTGAATAGCACAACAAGCAAGGACAATCCTTACTTGTGTCTCAATGTTGTAGTTGATGCCTCAATGTATGAATCTTTTTTTAAAAGCAAACTAATAATCCTCTTCACAACATTTTGTAGACATGAACTTCGAAAATTAAACAGCTCTTTCTTGCTTTTAGGTCGAGGTCCCTTAATGTCTCTACAATGGTATCGAGTCCAATGGTAGGGTACTAAAAATCCTAGAACCAATGGAAATTCAGCATCGACAAGATAATATTTACCTATTACACATGTGGTTGTTAAGTTTTCGTTCTTTATTGAAAGAGGTGAAAGACAAATTATCGAATAAGAAGTAGATCTTACCAACATGCATTGTTAGTCTATGACCTTGTTGTAAAGTTGTAATCCTTAGCAACCGATCGTCGTGGACGAATCTCTCCCAACCAGCAAGCACATACATAAACTTCATATCAAATGTGCAAGCGACCAAAACACTCTGAGTTATCATTTACTTCTTATTGTGATACCTCGTTTGTTCTTCTATAGGGACATTTGTAGGAATGTGAGTAACATCGATTGACCCCACAAAATCCTAATACGAAGACCAAAAAGTTTGGTTACAAAATGAATAGTTATAGTGAAGGAAAAATAAACAAAGTCAAATATTACCACCTAACCTGAAAATATTGGAACAATGGCTTCACCTTATCCTTCTCGCATGGTAATTTATGAATAGTGTCATTATTCATAGCATCTCTATACAATCCAAGGCAAGCCTGTAAAACTCTATGGGAGTAGTAACTCACTATTTGACCAGATCGGAAGAACATAAAACTTCCAAATCGATTACGGAGGTCATGTCCAACAGTGTTGAGAAAAATATAGCCACTTGTTCCTATACTTTGACAAATCTATTGTCAACCAAATATACGCTTGTAACGAGCACATAATCTTTGAAACGGAGATATCTTCATCCTCAGTAGATCATGACAAATTCTATCAATTGTACCAAATATCCATGTAAGTGTCATTTCTCTTTCAGAATCCTAATTTCTACAAGGGGTTCTAGGGAGCTGTCGATTATGATGCCTGACGGTGTTATATATTACAATTGCTTGCATGACAATCGTCCAAAATAGAAAAAAAAAAAGTTATGATTGGCGATGACATTGGTTCCTTGTGGTAGCCATGGTACTTAGAACATCTAAAAAGTGTCAACATGATGTAAATTATTGTTGACAATGAACAAAAAATGAAAATGTATATGATCATCGCGAAAATACGAGTAAAAATGAGCTAACCCACCTCCAGTTATCAACTCAAAATGGCTTTTCAAAAGTAATCAAACACTTTTTCAATTAAAAATAAATAAAATTCGTAAACTTCTTAACTCTCTACAGACCTTACGCAAGAACTAATAATGAAAATTTAAAAGAAGAATAAGCATTAGAAAAAGGAGAGATCGTTCAAGTTTCAAGGTGATAAATTCCTGGAAAGATAGACAAGGTAAAAAGTTAGAAAAAAAATGAAGAAAATGTGTAAGCGTTCACATTCACGTTCATGAGTAGAGAGAAAGAAGCATAGAGCGAAATTGAACCAGTAACACTTAGGTCTGAAATTTTTGAAACTTCTTGTGGGTTTTCCAGTTTCAGGAGCTTCTATTTTTTCCACACACTCCTTCCCTTCAATGATAGGATTATGTGGAGATTTTTTTGGTTGATTTTGCGGCTATTCCAAAAATGGGGAGGAGGGAGTGAGAAATGGGAATGGGGGAATGGCGTGACAAGAAAGAGAAAGGAAAAGTGGGTTTGTTTCAATTGCCAAGAAAACAAAAACCACCTTATGCTTGGGAATTTCAATTCCTCATTTTTGTGGAATAAAGAGTCACGTGATTGAAAATGAGAGAAGCAATTGCCAATAATATATTTCCTATCAAACAGGCTAAAAAGAGGAAAATGGTGGGATAATTTCCATCTTCCATGGAAGATTTGGCCTTTCAAACGGCCTTAAAATAACGAAATGAATTAATGAAAAGAAAAAAGGAAAATTATTGCTTTCTTCGAAATAAAAGAACACAAAAAAATAAAAGAGAATAAAAGAAAATTATTGCCATCATCGTTCTTCTTCATCGTTGATTCAATGGGTTGGTAGTGAGGATTAACGGTGTTTATGTTCGATGATACAATAATGGTGTGTGGCCTCGACGATTGAATTAAGAAAATAATAATTTTCTTTTCTTTTCTTTTTATTTGAAAAGAAATAAAGGTCGTTAACATTTAGCATTCTTATTCTCCTATTGAGCAGGTAAGTGCTCCCCTCTAAGTTTATTCTCTTTTATTTATGTTATTAAT